TCTTACATGCGTTGAGTTTTAGATGCTTGCTTTTTTCTTCTCTCAAATCTTCTATTAATTATATTGAGAGTTTCTGAATAGAAATGATGAAAATTTAATTATCGTTCCAAATCTATATTATTTTCCCTCATTTTTTGCATATTTCTGTGTAATGGTGAATGAGAGCAGGTAAACACATCTAGATACCCAAACTCCAAACTCAGAAGTCAGGAATTTGTCTTTTATTTTAGGTTATAGTAAATATGTTCTGAAAGAAAATGCAGTTTCAGATATATATTGATTTTTTCACACAAGTATGTAATTCTACTGATCCACCAGATATTTTACACAACATACATAATTTAAGAATAAAAGGAAGTGACAGTCTCATGAACTAGCATTTCTTTGACTACAGTAAATATGGATATTTATCTAATTTGAAAGTGGTTTTTATTTTTAAAAATTATTGAAATATAATTGATGTACAATAGTATATAGGTTTCAGATGTACAATATAGTGATTTGGCAATTCTATACCATTATTAAATGCTCACATGTTAAATGTAGTTGCAGTCTGTCACCATATAAAGATATTACAATATTATTGGCTATATTTCCTTTGCTGTACTTCTATCCCTGTGACTAATTTATTTTATAATTTTAAGTTTGAACCATTTTATCTCTTCACCTGTTTCAACCATAACTTCCTAGCCAAGGTAACCAGGAGTCTATTCTCTCTATTTATGAGTCTATTTCTGTTTTGTTTCTTTGTTCAGTTGTTTTATTTTTCAGATTCCACATAAAAGCAAGATGGTATGTATTTGTCTTTCTTGGTCTGACTTATTTTACTTAGCAAAATACTCTCTAGATCTATCCATGTTGGCACAAGTGGCAAGATTTCTTTATTTTTGCCTGAGTAATATTCCATTGTGTATAGGTACCACATTTTTATCTCTTCATTTACAAATGGACACTTACATTGCTCTCAGATCTTGAATATTATAAATAATGCTGCAATAAACATAAGGGTGCATACATCTTTTCAAATTAGTGACTTTGACTTCTTTGGGTAANAAAAAAAAAATCTGCCATTCTGAAAGATAAAAATAATGAAAATGACTGTAAGGCTTGGAGAAAGAAGTAAGAGAGCAGGTCTCTGCCTTGAATATAAAACAGAAATAAAAGTCTGAATTCTCACTTCCTGAGGCTTTTGTAGTAGAGACTAATGACCAGCCAGTCACCCCAGTGAACCTCAGAGTCAAGAGTCGAGATCAGCATTTTTGTTGTACTCCATGGTCATATCCAAACCTTGTTCTCTTATTTATTTTCAATTTTCCTGTTCCTTTACAATGTATGTTTCCTCACTTTCTTGAATCCATATTTTAAGTTATAACTTAGCCTGCATATACCACAAAATTCACTAAAGAAAGTGGTCTCTGTTCCTGTCCTTCATCACTATTCAGCTCACTTGTAGGGTTTGAGTCCTTTTACTGTCATGTAGATGATCTATTTAAATCCTTTCCTCAGTTTATTTCCTCAACTCTTACGATCAACTCCTAATGGCCACATTTTGCACATTTAAAAAAATCTAGATTTAACGTAAATGTATCTCTACAATTGATTTCCACATCTCCACCTCCAAACACCTCTCTTGATAGTCTTCCTTCTAGACATACTTTTCAAAATCACTGGAATCTCCTTTTTAAAAAAATGTTCTCTATGCCATCTGCTTCTATTATGTTGTCTTCCTTTTCTAGTCTCCTACATTCTGCTCCATCTTCTGACATGATCCTGAGATACACATGCATCTTGGAGCCACTTTTTCTTCTACTCTCCACCTCAGAAGCACAGCAAAACTCCTACCCTGAAACCATGCAAAACCCAACTGTTTGTCTCCTCTGCTCCTAAATGATGTCAAAATGCAAACAAATGTGACAGTGGCTACACCCATCTACATTCCTACCAACATCATGTGGCTTTATTTTTAATCTGGTTCATTAATAAAATACATAACCACAAGTTTCTGTTCCTATTTTCAAAGTAAACTGAAACCAGCCATAACTCTTTTTTGAGGAGCAAGTAGGGTAGCACCTTTCACAGAAATCTTGGGTCTCTGTTCTGGTCTGAGCTATATCATCAACAAGCCATTACCTTGAGTAAGTCAAATGGTCTCTAAAGCATTCAGGTTCTTTCTGAACAAAATGAGGAAGCTGGCCTGGATAGTCTCTGGGGTCCTATTCAGGTATACTTTCTATGATTATATTTCCTTAAATGTCTTCTGTGTAATAGCACCACCAATACACAAAGGACACTGCTATGAACAGAGCAAGAATCTTTTTACCAGAACTATAACCCAGTGGTATAACCAGGAACACTGTAGAAATTTCAAGTACAGTTAATTTTTTTTGCTTTGTTTGGTGACAGTGGCTAAGATTCCCATTTTCTTTAGTCCTTGATGATGCAATAGTGACATAACCTTAGATCAATAATTTATTATGTTCTGCAATATCTAAAAGAACAATTTATTTTTAAGAACATAAAGGCTGAAAAGTACTACCCATCATGCTTGATCATCAGTAGGATCACTTAAGGACTTGAAGTCACAGACACTATATTTTAATTAAAAGAAGCCTGATGTAGAAATTAGATCTAATTTCTCAGTATATTAATAATTTCCCAATATTCAATTAATAATTAAAGTTCTCAGTTTGCAGAGTAAGTGCTATATTTAGAATATTTGCATAATTTAGTGAATATATAATTTCCAAATGGCAATGTTATATTATGATGTATATGAGTAAAAGATCCATTCGAACTGCAAAATGGATACATGGATTTTATATAATAGAGTATGAAAAGGTTACAGGTATTGGCTCAGATTCTATATAGCAACCAGCTATCACTTAGCATTGTTGGTATAGTACCAAAGAAGGATATACACAGTTACATGGAAATATTAAATGTACCTCCCTTTTCCTTTTTATCTGGATAAGACTAAATTTTCTTCATATTATTCAGCCAAATATCATATTGAAATATACTGAAACATGTAGAATGCAGAAGCAGATATGTGAATCCAGCTATTTTTATTACTTATTAAAGAGATTTACAAAAACTCATAACAATGCCATGAAAAATAAAAAATAAAATCTACATTATTTACATAACATGAATTTATGATTATCTTAAAATGAATTGATATTTTTAATTATCTCAAGTTTATTTTCTAATATAGTAAATATCAATATGTACCATAAAAAACTCACTGACATTCTTTTTTTTAGAATATAAAGAAATCTTGAAGCAAAGAATTTCAGAACCACTAACCTACAGTATAAAATAATATTTTGCATAATGGGAATTTAATATGCAGTGTACAGAACAAAGAACCTGACAAATACATAAAGGCACTATGTATATTAGCTTATAATTATGCAGCATATATGAAAGGTATGAATAAAAATGCACTAAAATATTAATATTTGCAAGAAGAACTTGCACAAACAGGCAGCTCATGCAATTGCTGTGTAACACATAATGAAATCATTTCTGACCTAGGAGTTTCATGTCTCTGATAGAAGAAATGTAACTGGCAGGCTAAGTTTTAGTTTGCAAATGGAATAAATTTTCATATCTTTCATAGCTCTTGACCCTGGTTTCTGTCTTTTCATTTAAGTACTTAGATATATTTAGAATAGCTTCTCTAAAGTCTTCATCCGCTAATTCCAACAATGCTGTCAAACTCTGAGTCTCTTTTTATTGACTTCTTTCCTACATTTATGGGATGCAATTTCCTAGTTCTTGTACTTAGTAGTTTGTTTTTTGTGTGGTGAATGTTGTTGACATTTTATTGTTGGGAGTCATTTCTGTTTCCTTTCTTGTATGTATATCGAGGTGTTTTTTTTTTTCCCCTAATGAACAACTAATTTACTGTGGATCACTTTGATCCTGTCATATCTTGATTATGTCCATACTCTTAAAACCGTGGCCTTGTGGAATCTAAGTTACATGGTGAGGAGATCAATTAGACTTCTCCAGTCCCATCTGTCAGAAGTCTAATGTCTCTTGACCCCAAGCCACTTCTGGATTCTCTACTCAGCTCAGATGTTTGCACAGTCTTTTTTTTCTGCTAGTTTTAGTGGACTCTAGCCTAAGTATGCATAACTTAACAGTCTGCCAAGAGATTCACGGGTATAATTATTATGATTCTTGGGCCCCTTTTATGTGCAGCATTCTCTTCACTTGTACCCAGCTCTACAAGTCTTGTGAACTGCCCCAAACTACCATTTCAGTTTCCTATACTTACCCAAGACTGTTGCTCACTGGGTGGGCTCCACTTCTTGCCCTATGGTTTGGAACATACAAGCTTTTAATTTAGTTCTTACAGAAGGTTATGTATGTCCAGTTACTACTCAGTTGCTGAAATGTATTCAGTGTTGTCCATTGTAAAATGGTGTAGTATTTTTAATTAAATGAAAAGGGTTTCAGGGGTCTAGATTTTAGATTACTGTCAATGACATATTTTGGAACATCTATGCCAAAGGTAGTAAACTTCCCAAAGGTGGGTCAATTGGAATTAAATACGAGCTCACTGTTAAGTATAAAGTTGTCTGTGGGTTTGTCTTATATGGCCTTTAATATCTTGAGGTACTTGCCCTCTATACCCATTCTGTTGAGAGTTTTTATCACGAACGGAATTGAATTTTGTCAAATGCTTTTTCAGCATCTAGCCTGTTTGTGCAAGTTCTTCTTGCAAATATTAATATTTTAGTGCATTTTTATTCATACCTTTCATATATGCTGCATAATTATAAGCTAATATACATGGTGCCTTTATGTATTTGTCAGGTTCTTTGTTCTGTACACTGCATATTAAATTCCCATTATGCAAAATATTATTTTATACTGTAGGCTATGGTCTAACTGTATAAAAACGTACCTGTAGACATCATATTAAATAGATTTTAATTAAAAGAATTTTAACTGAGGTGTGAAAAATGATTTTATAGAAGCGTATCTGAATTGCTTCTTGGCCTTTTGGCTAAGATCAAGTGTAGAATCTGTTCTTATCAGTTTAACATGTGATATGTCCTTTATCCGAGAACAATAGATTAAATGGATTTCTGCAGCAGGAAGTTGGAGTAGGAGCTTGCTCCATCCGCTTCACGCATCGGCCTGGTATTGCAGTAGTTCCAGGAACGGTGCAGCCCCCCCTTTTTTTTATATCGTTAATGTACAATTACTTGAACATTATGGTTATTAGACTCCACCTATTATCAAGTCTGCCCCACATACCCCATTACAGTCACTATCCATCAGCATAGTAAGATGCTATAGAATCATTACTTCTTATGAGTGCTAACCATAATGCCCCTTTTTCCCCCTTATCCCTCCCTACCCACCCACCCACCCTCCCCAGTCCCTTTCCCTTTGGTAATTGTTAGTCCATTCTTTGGATCTGTGAGTCTGCTGCTGTTTTGTTCCTTCAGGTTTTGCTTTGTTCTTATGCTCCACAGATGAGTGAAATCGTTTGGTACTTGTCTTTCTCTGCCTGGCTTAGTTCACTGAGCATAATACCCTCTAGCTCCATCCATGTTGTTGCAATAGCAGGATTTGTTTCCTTCTTATGGTTGAATAATATTCATATATGTACCACCTCTTCTTTAGCCATTCATCTACTGATGGACACTTAGGTTGCTTCCATTTCTTGACTATTGTAAATAGTGCTGTGATAAAAATAGGGGTGCATATGTCTTTTTCAAACTGGGCTCCTGCATTCTTCGGGTAAATTCCTAGAAGTGGAAATCCTGGGTCAAATGGTATTTCTATTTTGAGTTTTTTGAGGAACCTCCATCCTGCTTTTCACAATGGTTGAACTAGTTTACATTCCCACCAGCAGTGAAGGAGGGTTCCCCTTTCTCCACATTCTTGCCAACATTTGTTGTTGTTTGTCTTTTTGAATGTTTGGCATCCTAACTGGCATGAGGTGATATCTTATTGTAGTTTTAATTTGCATTTCTCTGATGATTAGTAACATGGAGCATCTTTTCATGTGCCTGTTGGCCATCTGTATTTCTCCTTTGGAGAAGTGTCTGTCCAGATTCTCCACCCATTTTTTAATTGGCTTATTTGTTTTTTGTTTGTTGAGGTGTGTGAGCTCTTTATATAATTTGGATGTCAACCCCTTAACGGATCTGTCATTTATGAATATATTCTCCCATACTGTAGGATACCTTTTTGTCCTACTGATGGTGTCCTTTGCCCTACAGAAGCTTTTTAGTTTGATATAGTCCCACTTGTTCATTTTTGCTTTTGTTTCCCTTGACCAGGGAGATATGTTCATGAAGAAGTCACTCATGTTTATGTCCATGAGATTATTGTCTATATTTTGTTTAAAGAGTTTTATGGTTTCATTACTTACATTCAGTTCTTTGACCCATTTTGAGTTTACATTTGTGTATGGGGTTAGACAATAATCCAGTTTCATTCTCTTACATGTAGCTGTCCAGTTTTGCCAGAACCATCTGTTGAAGAGGCTGTCATTTCTCCATTGTGTATCCATGGCTCCTTTATTATATTTAATTGACCATATATGCTTGGGTTTATATCTGGGCTCTCTATTCTGTTCCACTTGTCTATGGGTCTGTTCTTGTGCCAGTACCAAATTCTCTTGATTACTGTGGCTTTGTAGTAGAGCTTGAAATAAGGGAGTGTAATTCCCCCTGCTTTATTCTTCCTTCTCAGGATTGCTTTGGCTATTTGGGCTCTTTTGTTGTTCCATATGAATTTTAGAACTATTTGCTCTAGTTCATTGAAGAACGCTGTAGGTATTTTGACAGGGATTGCATTGAATCTGTAGATTGCTTTAGGTAGGATGGCCAGTTTGACAATATTAATTCCTCCTAGCTAAGAGCATCCACTAAAAATGGATGAATTTCCATTTTTTTAGTGTCCTCTTTAATTTCTCTTAAGAGTGTCCCGTAGTTTTCAGGGTATAGGTCTTTCACTTCTTTGGTTAGGTTTATTCTTAGGTATTTTATTCTTTTTGACACAATTGTGAATGGAATTGTTCTCCTGATTTCTCTTTCTGCTAGCTCATGGTTAGTGTATAGGAATGCAACAGATTTCTGTGTATTATGTATCCCACAACTTTGTTGAATTCAGATATTTGATCTAGTAATTTTGGAGTGGATTCTTTAGTGTTCTTTATGTACAATATCATGTAATCTGCAAACAGGGACAGTTTGACTTCTTCTTTGCCAATCTGGATGCCTTTTATTTTTTGTGTTGTCAGATTGCCATTGCTAAGACCTCCAGCACTATGTTGAATAAAAGTGGGAGACTGAGCATCCTTGTCTTGTTCTGATCTTAAAGGAAAATCTTTCAGCTTCTCACTGTTAAGTATAAAGGTGTCTGTGGGTTTGTCTTATATGGCCTTTAATATCTTGAGGTACTTGCCCTCTATCCCCATTCTGTTGAGAGTTTTTATCACGAACAGATGTTGAATTTTGTCAAATGCTTTTTCAGCATCTATGGAAATGACCATATTGTTTTTGTTCTTCTTTTTGTTGATGTGGTGGATGATGTTGATGGATTTTCAAATGTTGTACCATCCTTGCATCCCTGGGATGAATCCCACTTGATCATGATGGATGATGTTTTTGATGTGTTTTTTAATTCGGTTTGGTAATATTTTGTTGAGTATTTTTGCATCTATGTTCATCAGAGATATTGATCTGTAATTTTCTTTTTGTGGTGTCTTTGCCTGGTTTTGGTATTACAGTGATGTTGGCCTTGTAGAATGAGTTTTGGAGTATTCTCTCATCTTCTACTTTTGGGAAAACTTTAAGGAGGATGAATATTAGGTCTTCACTAAATGTTTGATAATATTCAGCAGTGAAACCATCTGGTCCAGCAGTTTTGTTCTTAGGCAGTTTTTTGATTACCAATTCAAGTTCTTTGCTGGTAATTGGTCTATTCAGATTTTCTGTTTCTTCCTGGGCCACCCTTGGAAGGTATTTTTCTTGAAAGTTGTCCATTTCTTCTAGGTTATCCAGTTTGTTACCCTATAATTTTTCATAGTATTCTCTCATAATTCTTTGTATTTTTGTGGTGTCCGTAGTGATTTTTCCTCTCTCATTTCTGATTCTGTTTATGTGTGTAGGCTCTCGTTTTTTCTTTATAAGTCTGGCTAGGGGTTTATTTAATTTTCTTGAAGAATCAGCTTCTGCTTTCATTGATTCTTTCTATTATTTTATTCTTCTCAATTTTATTTCTACTTTAATCTTTATTATGTCCCTCCTTCTACTGACTTTGGGCCTCATTTGTTTTTCCTTTTCTAGTTTCATTAATTGTGGGTTAAGACTCTTCTTTTGGGATTGTTCTTCTTTCCTGAGGTAGGCCTGTATTGCAATATATTTCCCTCTTTGAATGGCCTTCGCTGCATCCCACAGATTTTTGCGTTGTTGAATTCTTGTTCTCATTTGTCTCCATACTTTGCTTGATCTGTGTTTATTTGGTCATTGATCGATTGGTTATTGAGGAGCATGTTAAGCCTCTATGTATTTGTGGGCTTTTTTGTTTTGTGTAATTTATTTCCTTTGTGATCTGAGAAGCTGTTTGGTAGGATTTCAGTCATTTTGAATTTACTGGGGTTCTTTTTGTGGCCTAGTATGTGATCTATTCTTGAAAATGTTCCATGTATACTTGAGAAGAATGTGTATCCTGTTGCTTTTGGATGGAGTGTTATGTAGATGTCTGTTAAGTCCATCTGTTCTAGTGTGTTGTTCAGTGCCTCTGTCTCTTTACTCATTTTCTGTTTGGTACATCTGTCATTTGGAGAGAGTGGTGTATTGAAGTCTCCTAAAACGAATGCATTGCATTCCATTTCCCCCTTTAATTCTGTTAGCATTTGTTTCACATATGTAGGTGATGCTGTGTTAGGTGCATAGATATTTATAATGCTTATTCCTCTTGTTGGACTGACCCTTTTATCATTATCTAATGTCCTTGTCTCTTGTTACTGTCTTTGTTTTGAAGTCTATTTTGTCTGGTGCAAGTAGTGGAACTCCTGCTTTTATCTCACTGTTAGTTGCATAAAGTATCTTTTTCCATCCCTTTACTTTCAGTCTGTGTATGTCTTTGGGTTTGAAGTGAGTCTCTTATGGCAGCACATAGATGGGTATTGTTTTTTTTTAATCCATTCAGTGACTCTATGTCTTTTGATTGGTGCATTCAGACCATTTATATTTGGAGTGATTATCGATAGGGATGTACTTATTGCCATTGTAGGCTTTAGATTCATGGTTACCATAGGTTCAATGGTAATTCCCTTGCTATCTAGCATTTTAATTTAACTAATTTCATATGCTATTACAAACACAACCTAAAGGTTCTTTTTCTTTTTCCCCTCCTTTTCCTTCCTCCTCCATTCTTTGTATGTTATGAATCATATTCTGTACTCTTTGTCTATCCCTTAGGTGACATCTAGCCTTAAGAATACTTCCATCTATAGGAGTCCCTCCAAAATACACTGTAGAAGTGGTTTGTGGGAGGTAAATTCTCTCAGCTTTTGCTTATCCGAAAACTGTTTAATCCCTCCTTCAAATTTAATGATAACCTTGCTGAGTAGAGTATTCTTGGTTCAAGGCCCTTCTGCTTCATTGCATTAAATATATCATAGGTTTCTGTTGAAAAGTCTGATGATAGCATGATAGGTTTTCCTTTGTATGTGATCTTTTTTCTCTCTCTAGTTGCTTTTAAAAGTTTGTCTTTATCCTTGACCTTTGCCATTTTAGTTATGATATGTCCTGATGTTGTCTTCCCTGGGTCCCTTGTTTTGGGAGATCTGTGTACCTCCATGGTTTGAGAGACTATCTCCTTCCCCAGATTGGGGAAGTTTTCAGCAATTACCTCCTCAATGACACTTTCTATCCCTTCTTCTCTCCTTCTTCTGCTATCTTTATAAAGCAAATATTTTTTCCTTTTGTATTGGTCACACAGTTTTCTCAATATTCTCTCATTCTCAGAGATTCTTTTTGCTCTCTGTGCCTCAGCTTCTTTGTATTCCTCTTCTCTAATTTCTATTCCATTTACCATCTCTTCTACTACATCTAATATGCTTTTAAATCCCTCCATGGTATGTTTCATTTCAGATAAGGAATTTCTTAATGATTCAATGTCCAACTTAAATTCATTCCTGAGTTCTTAAAT